AAGGCAGTGAACATTTAATGAAAGATTCATTTTCACTATAGCTTCTATTTATACTTTCAAATACAGAGTATCTCCTTTTACATCAATTTGAAATTCATTCATCACTGGTGTGTTTATGAATATAGTTACTGTCCATAGAAATATATGCAAGGTTAACAGCAGCATTAATCTGTTGTTCGTTGAATAAGAGCAACAAAGGATTGAATTTATCAATAGCTTTATCAGTCAGACGCTGACCCTTTTTTTGTTTACTAAAGCAGATTACAATAAAAGATTCATACGCTTAAACTGCTATTACCGGTATATCAAACTGCAAGTAGGCAGATTTCTTTTCGTGTTAATCTATGATAATGTAAGGAGCTTGTTGTGTATATATTTTTTAGTTAAAAGACATAAATATCATCCAGGATGTGTGTGCAAAATATCCGGGAGCTCTGTTCACTCAGGAATATTCACAGAAAAAACATTTCCTGTGAACTTAAGAAGATGAGGTACAAATATTGTCTTATATACGGACTACCACACTTACATTTTAAATGTCTGCATGTTAAAAGAATGACGTCCACTGGAAAAGGGGTTCGACCAATAATTAATAATGTACAAGGTGCAAACGGCTTGTGAGAAATAATATCTACCATAAGAAATTAAACAGAAGAAACACTTTATAGTTGAACCATTGTACTAATACTAAACAATACTGAAAGGTTATTTACGTAAGTGAGAATTCTAAATTAATGTCAAATTTAAGGTCGAAATAGCGAAACTGGAAAAATTCTTCAACTCAGCTATGTTTTCATTTCATCTACTTTAGCCTTAAAAAGACACTCCACTGCCCAAATACAAAGAAACACAAATACACAAAAAAAAAAAAAAAAATGATTTAGTAAATTTACCCCCAAATAAAAAACATGCATTAATTTAAAGGGACAACAGGCACCACTGCCCATCACACTTAACCCTGCAAGTGTAATTATTGCAGTTTTTATAAACTGCAATAATTACCTTGCAGGGCTAAGTCCTCCTCTAATGGCTGTCTATCAGACACCCTCTAGAGCAGGGGTTCTCAACCCAGTCCTCAGGACCCCCTACCAGTCCAGGATTTGGGGATTACCTGGGTGTTTCTCAGGTGTTTAGAAAAAGGGAAAAAAACACCTTAGACTCTAAAGTGTTTTTTTTTTCTTTTTCTAAACACCTTAGACACACCCAGGTAATCCCTAAACCCTGGACTGGTAGGGGGTCCTGAGGACTAACGTTGAGAACCCCTGCTCTAGAGGGACTTCCGGCTTCTTAAAACCCGAAAAGTGTTTTAAATGACACTGGACGTCCTCACGCTATACATAAGGACCCCAAATGTCACCGGAATCCCCATAGAAAAGCATTGAATAATTGGCATTGCCGCGCATGCGCATTAGGTCTTCGTGGGGAACATGGGCGTAGCCTAACCCAGCGCCGAGGGACATGGTTTCAGGTAAGTCACTGAAGGGGTTTTAACATTTTCAGCAACATGGGATGGGGGTGGGAGGGAGAGGGGCACTGCAGGAACACTGGAACACTGGAGAGTCCCTTTAATTATGCATTTTTCCATTGGTGGTAAATAAATAAATATAAAAATAGCTTGCAAAAGCTGCAGATCTTTTGTCTGCAGCCTTTACAATTCCTCCACTTCTTGCCAGCCTAGTGAGCAAAATTCATGCAATTCTCATGCAAAACTCACAGATGTGAGAAAAAAATATTAAAATGCATACAGCAAAAATCCACGGATTTCTTATGGTTTGTCATATTCTCCTGAGACCCAACCCATTAACTTGTGTCCTCTCTACTGGACATTTCACTCACATGCATCTCCTTTTATTCTTTTGAGATACTCTTTCAATCCCTGCTGTATTGTAAGAAGGACATCCTGGGCTTACCAGTGATATGTCATGTGATAGGCTCGGATGCTGGGAACTTCCTCAAAAATGGATGGAATATTGGAGGACAATTTTTTCCTCGGCTCCCAGGAGGATATAAAATGAACTTATTGTTCAAGGACGTTGCAATTGCATCTAAATCGTATATAATTTTCGTAAGTAAATCACACAAAATTTGCGAATTAAATATAAAGTCTTAGATACATCTGCACACTCATAAAAAAACATGAAAAACACAAGAACTGTGTTTGGTAAGATAGGATGTAAATCAGGCTGTATATTTGATACATAACTCTTGTGTATCACATATTAAAGAACTACAAAATGTAGTCATTGTTCATTTGAGACATGTAATCAGTAGCTCATCATGTCTTACCTGAATACCTACAATTCCCAAATTATCAATCTCTTCTTCACATAGCTATTTCCACCACAATTCATCACAAATACCTTCCCTACTCTCACCCATTCCACTCATTATTCATCACCCGCTTCTCTACACTGCTTGTGGATACAATTCAAAACACTCTGCCTAACTTGCAACGGTATAAATTACATCACACCTCTACTATGTCTTCAACTCTCATTACATATAAATCTATTCCTCAATCACGGCCTCCTTTTTATACTAAACGCAAGACTTCAGCCACTGTCTGTCCATTCTATCCATCATGCACCCCTTCATCTATCATTCTTCACCTTTAACCCCTTCACGACAAGGGCTATTTTATACCTTCGAGGAAAATTTTACCTTGTAGACAATGTGTGCAGATTAAAAAAGAGCATTTGAAAAAAAATTTTTAATCTATTTCACCTGATTATGGGAATACATCAAGTGCCGTATAAATTTCACATCTTCTACAGCTACAGGTTATTTATCAAAATGGGTGCATTCCTGTTTCAAAATTGAAAGTTTTAAAATTGGGGTATATGGTGGATCTTTGATATTTTGTATGTATTTGTTTATAACAGAAACGCCAAGGTATTTGTCTTTTTGACACTATTAATGCATGATATTATTAATAGTCTATGCAGTTTTGTTTTTTTATCTGTAAATTTCATAAACCTGACTTATTTCAATTTGTGTTGTGTATAGAAAAGTGTCTTGTATTTTCCCTTGATAATTATTGGTGTCATTTTAGGGACAAATTTGGTACATAACCATTATAGCGTTAAAATGTGGAATCTTGGTGCAGGGTCTATGTCTCATGTGTGGGATGTTGAGCACAGCACTATTTAAATTACTATAGTATGGGGGGGATTTTTAAAGGGTATATTTTAGGCTTCTATGCGCTACATTTATTTTTCACACACAACCGCTGTAAGTGCAGGAGGTTGGGGGAATACAAAGGATGAGGACTGTAACTATATGGACTGTAACAATAAGTATCTCCAATGGTCTCCTTGACTCAGTTATTTTGAGTGATAGACAGAGTCGGTTACTCTTCAGTGATGTATAATACCTCCAGTCATTATCTCAGTGAAAAAATTATTATTATTTTTATTTAAATAATTATTTTATGGGACCAATAGAAAATTTTAAGGTCCAGCCCTTTCCCCCCTCCTGCGTCAGAATGAATGGCGGATGTAGTATTAATAATGATAGTAATGTATGTAGGTATAAATGTAAAATATTTGATGTATTGTTGTTATTATTAAAATATTCACTGTAATAATGTATTTTTTGTATACAACAATATCTCAATAAAGAAGATATAAAAAAATAATTATTTTGTGGGCACATTTGGTAGTGGGTACAGTGTCTAAATGTGCCCCCAAGCCCCATTTATCATTCACTATAACAATGTGTGATAGACATACTTGGGATCCATCCATTGTTTTGGATCAAAGAAAACTTTGATTATTTGTCTATCTACACCTTCCAAATTGATTAATTAATGCGTGCACGCTTTCCCTAGAAGTAATTCACACCGGAGACAAAGTTTCTGATCAGTGAAAAACCCAGGAATGCTTTATTCCCCGGAGTGGGGGCTCCTTCTTAAAGCAAAAATACGTCACAGTTTAAACATACAGTATACATTCACCAATTGGTTAACAGAGAAAGGGGCCTCTTGTTTAAACCCCCCTACAGAATGTAGTGTCATCATTACAGACTTTTGGATACACGATGGGAGGGGGAGTGAGTGGTATCTATCAGTTCTAAACCAATGATCCTCCATTTAGCTATATATGGCATATAGCTGTTAACTGGCACAAAGGTAGTGGGGGAGGAGTTATCACAGGAATTTTGGTTACACAAGGTTTTATTGATTTGAAGGGGGGAGGGGAGGCTAGCAGGATGTGAGGAATTTACATAGTAAACAGCAGCTGACCACATTGTAGGGGGGGAAGGGAATATTTACTCTAGAAGCCAGTTTTAACATAGTGAACAGAGAATAAATAGACATTAAACAGCAGCTGACCACATTGTAGGGGGGGGAGGGAATATTTACTCTAGAAGCCAGTTTTAACATAGTGAACAGAGAATAAATAGACATTAGTAAATAGCCATTTTATTTTAATTCATCTGTCCATAACACCATCAATGTGGGTTCATTTTTCAATGTACTGGGTTATTACAGTTAATTGTGAATGCAGTCTATAAATGATAGGATACATGGAGCTCTTAAAAAAATTAACAGATTATAATTTTTGCTGGAGGCATTTAGGGGAAGAGGGACATTAGAGTGAGTATACCACACAATACAGTACACACTCTACTCTACTTTACTCACTCAATATGGCAGTGAGTGCAGGCACACATAGCATTGCTAATGCTGTCTGTGTCTGTCAGTATTTCCTGGCATGAGGCCGCTCTCTGAAAGTGATATTTCTGACTACTAAAAGTGCGCGAAAGTGTGATTAGTACAAATGTGTGCAAATTCTGGTGTGTACTTGAGTGGAGTGCCAATATATGAGTGAAGATGAGCAGTGTCCGTGTGTAAGAATGTAGTGGAATGTTTGTTTGATGTATCAGTTTGGGTATGAAAGCAGGTGTGACTGTTCATATCCCATTTGTGTCTTTATTTTTCTTGCCCCCCATCTCCATTACAATTATCTGCCCCAATAGCCTTCCTTTGACAGATTGTATTGACACCTATCTCCCTGACTATACAGAGTTTGATTCTGCCCCACCAGCCTACACCCAGCTGGTGGGGCAGTTACTTAAAACTGTAGAATGACTGAGCTACAATCACATTGCCAGTGTGCCTTCGTTTCTTATCTGTACAGAAACCACATCACTGCAGTTAAGGGACTGCAATGGCAAATAGCTCTGTGTAGGTTCAGTACTGTAAAATGTCAGATACAAAAATGTATCTTATATTATCTCCCTTTTTAGAGAAATGCTCTTGTAAAGCATTTTTGTTCATAGTTGTCCTCCAAGGTATAATTTTATTATAAACCAATAATATTAATTTTATGTCACTTTGAGACGTTTGTAAATAACAATGAATCATTGTCATCTTTACTGAAATTGTAATATTATCTACTGTCAATGCAATTTTAAAACAAGGTGCTCTGTAAATTGAGTATTGATTTTTAATAATTAAAGTTGTGTTTCAAACTACCACTGCAGTCTTTTTTCCCCCCGAGGAATATTTTTTTCCAGTTCACTGTTCTCGGGTGGCTTTAACTAGATTCTGAGTATATGTCATTGAATTAAAATGCACAATTGACTTGTTTTTCTTGATATGTAGATATTATCCCGAGCCATTAGATTAAGTTCAGAAAATGAGGCATTGAATTATCCATTATGACAATAATACTATAGCAGTCTCATTTATCAATTAGAATATGTATTTTCGATGACAGCTTGCCATTAACATGAATATTAAACCAGAGCCAGTAGCCGAGCTGCTGCTGTGCCCGTCAATCATCAGTATCAGCAAGGCAAATGTTTCCTGCTGACAAATATTCCCGCTTAAAAAAAACAAAACAAAAATGCTACACACATTTGTGTCCATGGGGATTCACTATTTGCAGACTGGATTTTAGCTCTAGAGTCTTTCATTCTGTTCAATAAAAAAAAAAAAGAATATCCCATTCACTGTAATCTTAAACATCTACTGACTGTATTCTAATAAAAATGAGATTTTTTTCGTTTTGGCGAGCAAGCTGTCTAAAATGCTGCATTTTGCTACTTACGTGGCAGTTTTGACTTAATACATCAGTAACATGATTACGGCTAAGTGCTCATTTTCTAAGCTTCACGTGGATTTGAAAGGCAACCATCCTATAGGATTTAAGAGATAACCTGGAGATTGTGGTTAGCCAAGTGCAATGCTATCAGAGTCAGCTACCACATTATTATAACATATGCTTTTAGCAAAATAATGGTTGTAATGGGCAAATCTTTTCAAAGGTTTGTTAAAGAAATACAAATCACTCCACATCTCTTTTGTGAGAATATAAAAGTTTTTATATTCTTTGACAATCTCTGCGGAAAATGACAAAAGAGACACTGCGGGTTGGTATAACCAGTGCTGGAAACTATGAATGAGGAACATATAAAAAAAAAAGGATCTAGACACAAATTATTAGCCTTTTGACTACAGTTAATCATGTAGCAGGCTATGTCTATAGTTTTACAAAGAGGATTTAGAAACTCACATTTATACAAACACTACTTTTTCACTTAGAAAAACTACAGAAGTCAGTATTGTAAGCTAACAGGATGAATCACACTGAACAAGATGAAATGTTAGAGTGTTTATTTTCAATTGTTTCAAATAAGAATAGCCATTTTTAAATAAATAATAATATTTACATAGTTGTATCAAACAAAATAGGCGCGTAAAGGACCACTCTAGGCACCCAGACTACTTCAGCTTAATGAAGTGGTCTGGGTGCCAGGTCCTTCTAGGGTTAACCCATTTTTTTTATAAACATAGCAGTTTCAGAGAAACTGCTATGTTTATGAATGGGTTAAGCCTTCCCCCTAATCCTCTAGTGGCTGTCTCATTGACAGCCACTAGAGCGCTTGCGTGCTTCTCACTGTGATTTTCACAGTGAGAGCACATAGCGTCATAGGAAAGCATTGAAAATGCTTTCCTATGCGACGGGCTGAATGCGCGCGCAGCTCTTGCCGGCGTGCGCATTCAGCCCAGGAGGAGGAACGGAGGAGGAGAGAAGGAGGAGAGCTCCCGCCAGCGCTGGAAAAAGGTAAGTTTTTAACCCTTTCCTCTCCCCAGAGCCGGGCGGGAGGGGGTCCCTGAGGGTGGGGGCACCCTCAGGGCACTATAGTGCCAGGAAAACGAGTATGTTTTCCTGGCACTATAGTGGTCCTTTAATGCATAGTCCTGTGTTAGGGTTAGGGTACTAGTGGATGTTTTGTGATGGAAATGCAGTGTACAGATCTCTGACCATTTATGTTATATGACATCATAGTCGGGGTTCAGTATTAAACCAGGCAATGATAGTTATGGCACTGAATGTGCATTGTAGAAGCTACACTCCATTAATAATGTCAATTTGTTTGAGCAGAGTCCTTCTCATCTCTAAGTGAAAGGGACACTATAGTCACCAAAACAACTTTAGCCTAATGAAGCAGTTTTTGTGTATATATCATGCCTCTGAAGTTTCACTGCTCAATTCACTGCCACTTAGGCATTAAACCACATGTATTTCTGTCTATGCAGCCCTAGCCATACTTCCCCTGAATGTAACACACACAGCCTGCATGAACACAAAATGGTTTAATTTTAAATCAGATGTACTTTAAAAGTTTTTATCTCCCGCCCTGTAAATTGAACTTTAATTGCATTCAGGGTGCTCTTGCATGGTATATCAAGCTATTAACAGAGCAGGAGATAAGAAATTCTAAATTAAACAGAATTTGCAATAAAGGAAGTTTAAACATTAGATGACTCTTTCCAGGAAGTTTTTAGGAAGGCTGTGTAAGTCACATGCACGGGCTGCATAAGTCACGCCTAGAGCTGCATAAACAAAGTGATTGAGCTATTAAATGGCAGAGAATTGAGCAGTGAGACTAAAGGGGTATGTTCTATACACCAATACTGCTTCATTATGCTAAACTTGTTTTGGTGACTATAATGTCCCTTTCATGAATAAGTACAATAAATACTGAATACGAATACATATTGAACAGAAACTACTAAATGGAGTCAGGATAACTCCTCACAAATATGTGGGGGGTCCCTCCTCCATAGACGAGAACCTCTAAACAAATTAAGTGTCCATAAATATGGTACAATATGGTATTATATGAATACTTAATTTGTTTAGAGGTTCTCGTCTATGGAGGAGGGACCCCCCCACATATTTGTGAGGAGTTATACTGACTCCATTTAGTAGTTTCTGTTCAATTAACTTTGGGTGATGCACTTGAGTTCCTCTGTAACCGATTAAGAGGCACCAGTGCTGACTAGTGTAGCCCTGTTGCCTCTTCTTGTGTGCCTACAAATATATATTCCCCTGGAGTGGTGAGAATTTCGATGATCTGGAGAAGTGTCCATTAAAGCAAAATATAATTACTAATCCTCATGAATACTTTCATCTTAGCTATATATTTCTAAACACAGCCTGTCACTGCACTTTTCTCATCACGTTGACATCTGCAGATCTTGAATTAACCGTCCAAACTTACCAAGTATTCTGCACCTTGTATCTATCACTATACAGTGAGGGAAAAAAGTATTTGATCCCCTGCTGATTTTGAACGTTTGTCCACTGACAAAGAAATTAAGGTGTATTTTAACAGTGAGAGACAGAATAACAACAAAAACATCCAGAAAAACGCATGTCATAAAAGTTATAAATTGATTTGCATGTCATTTAGTGAAATAAGTATTTGACCCCTTCGACCTAGTACTTGGTGGCAAAACCCTTGTTGGCAATCACAGAGGTCAGACATTTCTGGTGGTTGACCACCAGGTTTGCACACATCTCAGGAGGGATTTTGTCCCACACCTTTTTGCAGATCCTTTCCAAGTCATTAAGGTTTCGAGGCTGACGTTTAGCGACTCGAACCTTCAGCTACCTCCACAGATTTTCTATGTGATTAAGGTCTGGAGTCTGGCTAGGCCACTCCAGGACCTTAATGTGCTTCTTCTTGAGCCACTCCTTTGTTGCCTTGGCTGTGTGTTTTGGGTCACTGTCATGCTGGAATACCCATCCATGACCAATTTTCAATGCCCAGGCTGAGGGAAGGAGGTTCTCACACAAGATTTGACGGTACATGGTCCCGTCCATGGTCCCAGCCTTCCTCCTCCTCCAAACACAGTGAGTTGCGTTGATGCCAAAGAGCTCGATTTTGGTCTCATCTGACCACAAAACTTTCACTCAGTTCTCCTCTGAATCATTCAGATGTTCATTGGCAAACTTCAGACGGGACTGTACATGTGCTTTTTTGAGCAGTGAGACCTTGCGGGCGCTGCAGGATTTCAGTCCTTCACGGCATAGTGTGTTAATTGTTTTCTTGGTGACTATGGTCCGAGCTGCCTTGAGATCATTAACAAGATCCTCCCATGTAGTTCTGGGATGATTCCTCATTGTTCTCATGATCATTGAAACTCCACGAGGTGAGATCTTCCATGGAGCACCAGACCGAGGGAGGCTGACATAACAATTTTTTTATTTTTTTTAAAGCATGTCAAAAAGTTATAAATTGATTTACATGTCAATGAGTGAAATAAGTATTTGATCCCCTATCAATCAGCAAGATTTCAGGCTCCCAGGTGTCTTTTTTATACAGGTAACGAGCTGAGATCTCAGCTTGTTACCTGTATAAAAGACACCTCCACAGAAGCAATCAATCAATAAGATTCCAAACTCTACACCATGGCCAAGACCAAAGAGCTGTCCAAGGATGTCAGGGACAAGATTGTAGACCTACACAAGGCTGGAATGGGCTACAAGACCATCGCCAAGCAGCTTGTTGAGATGGTGACAATAGTTGGTGCAATTATTCGCAAATGGAAGAAACACAAAATAACTGTCAGTCTCCCTCGGTCTGGTGCTCCATGGAAGATCTCACCTCGTGGAGTTTCAATGATCATGAGAACGGTGAGGAATCAGCCCAGAACTACACTGGAGGATCTTGTTAATGATCTCAAGGCAGGTGGGACCACAGTCACCTAGAAAACAATTGGTAACACACTACGCCGTGAAGGACTGAAATCCTGCAGCGCCCGCAAGGTCTCCCTGCTCAAGAAAGCACATGTACAGGCCCATCTGAAGTTTGCCAATGAACATCTGAATGATTCAGAGGAGAACTGAGTTAAAGTTTTGTGGTCAGATGAGACCAAAATTGAGCTCTTTGGCATCAACTCAACTTGCCGTGTTTGGAGGAGGAGGAATGCTG